ATCTCGTCGTGTCTACATCATTTAGAAGAATTTATGAGATGACGAGCTCCAGGATCCCCTCGCTTACCATTGATTCCTGCATTAAGTTCAAAATATTGCCACTTACTTTCAAAACAAAACAAGTTTAGGCAACCTGCTTATATTAATCAACGATATGTATTTTCCAGGACGCACATAGGATCATCTGATTTTTTATTTTTTATTTATTTTTATTTTTTTTTTTGCTCTCTGTTCCCCGTACATTCTTAAAAAACTATTGTTCATAAGTCTTTCTCTTTTGCCGCATCTTCACTTTGGAATTCACTTCCTGCACACATTAAAAGAGTTCTTCTGATGCTTCATCTAAATAATTGCTTAAAACTCACCTTTTCCTTCATTAACAGAAATTTCTGATATATGGTGTGGTGAGTGAATTTAAAGCTTTGTATAATAAAAGCATTAGTTTTTGATTCGTCCCATCTACAGTTTAGAACTAATCGCCCTGCACGATTTTGTAGGCGCGTTAGGTGGTGAATAAAATTATATTCACAAATTAAACATGAATTTAGAGAAGAAGATTATTTAACAAATTTAGACAATCACAGACATAAACAAATTCTTACTAAATTAAGATTGGGGGTATTAGAATTAGAATTAGAAAGAGGGAGATGGTATAATGTTAATAGAAATGAAAGATTATGCAAATTATGTTCGCTACAAAAAGTCGAAGATGAATATCATTTTACCTTTGTTTGCCCTTTTTATTCAGATATTAGAACTAAATTTCTATTTACCTTTTACACAGACACTCCGTCTGAATTAAAATTTCTTAATTTAATGTCTACTAAAAATATTGATCTCATTTCAAAGTTATCAAAATGCTTATTTTTACTCAATTAAACGTAGAAAAGAATATTTAGATGCACTCTAATTTTGTTAACATCATGCTTTGTATATTATTTGGGCCAGAGGCCTATATGATTAATAAATGTTACTTGAACCTGTTTTCATGGAAGAAGATCTATAATCACTCCTAAATATTTACATGAGTTCACTTGCTTTAAACGTGTACCATCCATCTGAATTTTCAAATTCTGATCAACAAATTGAAGTTTCTGGCATGGACCAATAAGCATAACCTCACATTTTTTTTTTGGCATTTAAGGTGAGAAAGTTTCGTTTGAGCCATGCACTAATATCAATAATGTCCCTATTCAACATATCAACGATTTCCTCAGTTGATTTGGCAGAAAAAGATCGCGGTGTCATCTGCAAGCATGTTGGCTTTGCAAGATAACACTTCAGGTAAGTCATTAACAAACACAGTAAACAACAAGGGGCCGAGGATTGATTCTTTGAGGTACATCATGGCTTACATTAAGTGTATCTGATTTTTGCGACATCAACCAAATTTATTTATTTCTAATTTGAAAAGTTGGCCTTACCGTCATGGACATCGACCCGCGGCGGAGAGTACCCCCAGCCGGGCAACTTCTGTTGCCACCACTGGTAGGCACGTGTCAACTTGAAAATAAACACATAGCCAATAGCAACTAAACAAAATATAGAACCTAAGAATTTCACGGCTAAAAATCAGAGAAGTAGCCCGACGGTAAACATCTGAAATGGATCTTACAGCAAGTTTTAATGAAAGTGACCTTTGCTGTGAGTGTGCAGCATAATTTACTCCAAAAATTATTATGGTAGGCCTATGACAGAATCAGAATGAAGTAGATGAATATGCGATCCTTCCAACATATGAAGTGTAGAAACTTAGATGATTTGTGACTTGATTATGAATCTCAATTTCCCAAGGTAAGCAATTTAAAGAATTCATGAATAACAAAATGAGGCCAGGGTTAGTACGGTAGTACAGTATAGGCTACTAGTATTGGCTACAGTGGCCTAGCTCTGATTTTTTGTTAAAATATTATATTTTCATCATAACATTGAGAATGTCAGAGATGTATGTAAGTCATGATAATAGCATTTCAAAAGAGGAGAGATGATGGGGTAGGCCTGGCCTATGACCCGTAGTCGTTGACATGCTTTATAGTTATAAAGAGGAGGGAGGATGGGGGTATAGACCTGGCAATCCACCAAAAGTTGAGAATGAGGTTGCCTAGGATTGAAGAAGCAGTTTTTTTTTTCGCTTGTACTAAATTTGTTGCTCAAAATGAACGTGATGTAATTTTTATATTCATAATGATGGAAATTCCCTCCAACAAAATCCAAAATACCGTGAAAATATTTATTGTTCATTTGCGATAAAAAAGTGAGGTGATTACTAAATTCCACGGTTAGGTTAGTAAACACAAACAGAGGAAGCTATTATTCGGTATACACAAGGCCGGTATAAAAAGCATCATATCCCACTAGCTTCAAGAAAATCTAAAATAGTAGCTTCATGCTACAGTAGAATTCACTGCCTATTTATAAAATAAATTAATATTGAAGGAGGATTGCAGCTTGGTAGTAGTGTTTGCAGTTGATCAATTTCAGACGATCATCAACACATAAAATGAAGAACACTCTTCAAAGAGAGGCCTGGGGCGCTCCTTTTGGGAATATTTCTCTTGATGAAACTGAAAGACTCATTTTGTTAATACTGATGTTTTCTTCTGTATTTAACGTCAACGGTGGTAAGTCGACTGTTTCTCTTTGCCAATCAGTAGGCCTGGTACAATCAGTAGGCCAGGTACAATTTTAAAGCAAATATTACACATAGACAGTGTATTAATAAGCAACGAAGTATTACCTTATAAAATATTGTTATTGTTATTGATTGTTATTATAATAATTCTTCTTATTAATAATATTTCGGTTATTATAATTATAATTATTATTATTATTATTATTATTAATATTATTATTATTATTATTATTATTATTATTATTATTATTAGTCAAAATTAATCATATTGGCCTCTTTCTTTCTTCCAGTAGATTTATTTGTATATGATGAATTGCGATTAGATATTAGAGGACGTGTTGAAATATTAGTAGATGGCAAATGGGGAAGTTTTTGTGATTATAAATGGGGCCCCAATGAGAGTAATGCTGTTTGCAGGAAGCTTAGCAACACAGGAGGTTCAGAAAATATAACTGGCGACGCCGGCGACAACATACGACAAGTTAATTTCAATGTCAACTGCAGTAATGAAAAAGATTTTGACAAATGCAAGTTTGAGAAATTAGAGTTTAAGTGTCCACCCGACAGGTATGCCGCAGTGCGATGTCAAGATAGATATGCAGATGTAACCGATGACGGTGGTAAGTTGTCAATCAAACTTAAAAACTGGCCAATCAGAACCGGGCTAGGAATACGCGCTTGTCTCACAAACGCACGAGTTTACTTACGTACGCTTAGGCCATCACCTTTGTGGGACCATAGCAAAGGAGTCAGCGGAAAGACCAGCTCCGTCAATGGAATACACTAGTTTGTTAATGTTTATTTTTAAATTTGTTTATACAGTATTTATTTATTTATTTACTTTGTACTTTTTTTGCTCTTTCTTTCTTTTTTTTTATGGACATAAATTAATGTCTTTTGAATTGAATTGAATTGAGTTCTTATCAGACGAAAATAAAATTAGATCTTTTTACTTTGACACTGATTGTCCTATATATTTCAATCTCTGATAACTTCACGTCTTGTTAGTTATTTGGCACTCACCTTAGGGCTTATTGTGACACAAACCAGTAAAGTTGTGCGTTCATATGCATATAATACAATCATATAAAAATTACTAAAATAAACTGAAAAATTAAAATGAAATATACAACCAACATACAGTATACTGATTATCTAAAGTTAATAAAAAACGAAAGCTCGGTCACTGGTATTTTAAACTCTATTCTTATCGCAACACTCTACCAACTCGGTATTTACAAAATTACCAAAATAACTCGTTCTCGAACGTATTGGATTTTATTACATGCCTTACCTACAGACATAAATTATAATGTCACTAATATTTTTTCTGGCTTAGGCCCATGTCTCTAGACCTCTTCAGTACTGGGGCATAGCAGAAATACAGCTAAACAGATAAAGTTAAGATAATAATAAATAAATAACTAAGAAATGCAAAGAATTCAACATCATCATCATCAGCATCGTAAACATCAATATTTGCCAATCAATTTAACAAAAGAACATCAAGTATTCCAACACAAACACATATTAATTCATAAATAATTAATGTTCAACGTCACAGGTACAGATTTATATTTAAAAAAAAACTGGAATTATTAATTTCATAGAAAACAAATTCAATTAATATAAACAATATTAAAGGTCGTGGAATATAAACATTCTATTCTTAGAAGCGGACCATATTTTATTTATTTATTTTTTATTCAGCTTTATGAACTAGGGTCATAGATATGCCAAACTGTGAGTTTAATCACTCTTCAAAGACAAACATAGGCTACACACAAGATGCTTTAGATAAGACCAAATTGAGGGAAACCCAAGACCCTGCATAAGCAAGTAAATATAGATGCAATGCATTTGTCTGAACATCTAAACCTAACAATTCAAGTCACCTTAAATTATAATCGACAATAGTGTAAAAAAATAAATTTGTATCCTTATAAAAAATGGCACCATTCCGATCATTAAGTTAAAGGCTGAGATGCAATTATGTTTATGGATTAGGTAGGTTTATTGATAGTCAACAATAATTAGTCACAAAGAAACTATCGGGAAAAAAATGAAGCCAGTCGCTAACATGAAGTATTTTTATTTGACATTCTTCGCGACTGAGGACTAAAGGTACCAGAGTGCCTTTTTACCCATTACCCATTAGGAAACACATATCGTCTGTGAAAGCATTAATTATTCAGCTGTAAATGTTTAGGCCTAATTTCATAGTTTGTATAATTATTCTCCAGTAGGACTGAATACCTGTTGGCCCATGCTTGTCCACCCCCACAGAATGATTTAATCGGAAACTGGGTGCCAGATTTAGTTATGATGTCATTGGCACATGAGTCATCTTGTTGTTCAAGTCTATTTTATTTGATATATGGTAGGTTAAGTATTTAAATTGTTGAGATTGCTATTCTACCGTGACTTGTTGGCATGATTCTTTATAGACAAGGCATGAAAACAAACTAACCGCTGTTGCCTTTTGAGAACAGAGTCTGAACTTTTGAGTAATTTTCAATCTTCAAAGTTTGTTTTGCTCACTTTAAGCAGAGTACATCACATCCGCGTGAATGTAGGGCATAATATTCTCTCTATCTTTATCTATCTACACCAGAGCTCTGGCTCTGCTTGATGAAAAATTGGCAATAATCCAAGCAGGCCTATAGTTTGCCAATTATTTTATAAAGGAGTTACAACGGTATTAATTTATTGGCTTTTTCATGGCTTAGCAGAAAAAAGCCATTGTTTGTGATTCTTTTCTATCCCGTTTTCCTATGTTTTTACACCGGGTTTTACTGCCCGGCACTTCGTGGTTACTTTCCGTGCTCATAGGCGTAGATCCCGGGGGGGGGGGGGGGGGGATGGGGATATATCCCCCAATATTTGACAAGGGGGGATGGTCCATTGTGTCATCCCCCTCCCAAATATTTTGACTATGTATGGGTTAAAATGGAGCTTTACACACTTCAAAAGACTGTCACAGAAATAATTTGCACTGTCTTATGCGCTTACAAAGATGAAAATTAGCATACTGTATTAATTTTGATAACAAAATTATTTTATTTGGTACCAATCTAAGCTCTTCTTAGAGCCACATTTCACACTGAAGGGTGTGTTCGACATCAGTAATGTTATGTCAATTCCAAGAATGTTTAAGG